TTTATTTTTTTAGTTTTTGGTGGACACAACATCTTTGTTTGTATGTGGTGCTGAGGATGGAACCTGGGCCGCCCGCATGCCAGGCGAGCGCGCTACTGCTTGAGCCACATCCCCAGCCCCCAGCGCTTACTTCTTGAGCTCTTCTTTTGCCAATTGCAGGGGCAGGGATTTCAGGCACACATCTAGAGATCAGGATGATTGACTGCTTGTCAGTGTATGCTGCATGCATGGTCTTCTTAGGCAATATTTAAACATGCCAGGCTTGTGTCCTGGTAAACAAACTCTCAAACTGTCATTAATTAGCTAAGTCACCAGCATGCAGGAGACTTATTTACTATCAGTAAGTTTTTAATGAAGTTACTGAAAAGGAGATAAGTTAACACATTGTTTTACTACTGTCCTCAGTAACAAGTTAGCACATGTTTCTGCAAAAAACAAAGGTCTGTTCACAATAGGAAGAAAACACTTAGTATTAATTTTAAATAGAAATAATATGTTAAGTATATGAAAACAAAACTAATAGAAGGTATGAAATAAGAATAAAGGATCACCTGGGCACAGTGGTGCCAGCAGCTTGGGAGGCTGAGGTAAGGGAGGCTAAGGCAGGAGGATTGGGAGTTCAAAGTCAGCCTCAGCAAGAGTGAGGTGCTAAGCAACTCAGTGAGACCCTGTCTCTAAATAAAATACAAAATAGGGCTGGGGATGTATCTTAGTGGTTGGTGGTCAAACGCTCCTGAGTTCAATCCCTGATACACTGTAAAAAGTAAGAATAAAGGATCAATAAGAATGAAAATAGTTTTGTTTTTAGATTAAATTCAGTTCTCAACAAAATCTAACTGGAAATTTTAAAAAGAACTCCCATGCTCATTTTTCCTCCTTGATATCTTCTTGCCTCATAAAATGATAATGGAAGTGGTCCATTCCTTTTTATTTTTTTAACAGTTTAACTAGAAAAACATTCTTTAAAGGAGAACTAAGCCTAGAAATGGTGGTTTTCATCAAGTAATTTAAGCACTAAAGCATTTTGGGTTTTAAAAACTGAAGGGAAATGAAATGTCACACTGTTCCTGTTCTGCAGACAGTGTGCTTACTGTGGTGCTCTTTCTAGCATCTCTCTTGTCAGCCAGGGCTCTTCCTTCTCTCTTTCTTGTCTTAGGCTTTGACTTGGAACAAATATTCAAGGCAGTATTTTTGCTCCTCTCTGCATAGTCCCTCTCTGCTGCTGCATCCTAACCTTTCCTGTTCTAGAGACTGGGGCAGGTTGAAAAGTTGTCATCGCCCAGAATGTAGGCGCTGTGAAGCTGAATGACAAGTAATTTGGTTGGAGCTATGTTGTGCAACTGCTGGCACTGCAGAGGGTGACTTGCTGAGCCTTTGCTGGCTTTGAGAAGGCAAAGTAATGTGGTAGGCAAAGTAATGGCTCCCCAAAGATGTCCCCAGAACCTAAATCTTAAGTGGTGAAAAAGAATTGTGATTCAAAAGGACTTTAAGATGGGAAACAATTACCCTGGATTATTCTGATGGGCCTGGGCTAATCACAGGATTCCTGAAGAGGGAAGCCAAAGGTACAGCTGGAGGGTGTGACTTGCACAAAGGCACAGAGCTGGGTGGCTGCCGGTGGTTGTTGTTGGTAGCGTGGTGGAGGAACTGGTGCCTCTGGCAGCTGGCAGGGGCAGGAAGTGGATTTTCCCCAGGAGGCTCAGGCAGAGCAGCGCTACCCACACACTAATGTAGACCAGACCTGTTAGGTAGTAAGTATGTGCTCTTTTTAGCCACTGGGTGGTGGTTGATTAATATAGCCTTCTGTCCTTATATGAGTTTCCTGTGCAAAGGTTGGCCCCCTTGTCTTCTGGCTCTGTCCTTTGACGAGGATTCAGAAGAAAAACAGAATGATTATAAATTAAATTAGCAAAAAGTTTTTGCTGAGGGAGGCAGTACTAGGGATTGAATCCAGAGCATCACACATGCTAGGCAAGTACTCTGTCAATTAGCTGAATCCATAGTACTTTTGAAAATTTTTGAGGCAGGTTCACCTTGAACTTGTGATCCTCCTGCCCTAGCCTCCTTAATCACTGAGATCACAGATGTATGCCACTGTGCCTGGCTTCAATACTTTTTTTGGTGACTACATCTGGTAGAAAATGTAGCTTTGTTATAATATTTACATCCAAATGTTGAAGATTTGTCATGTTTGTCTCCTGTTATGCCAGATTCATGGGACCCCAATAGACCTCCAGGAGCCGAATCCAATGCAAGCACACAAGGGTCTTTATTGCAAGCTCGAGCCTGGACTCGCAACCATTCCCAATGCAGCGGTCTCAGGGAGTGAGTCCTGGTCCTTTGTTCAGTGAGATTTTATAGGTTTTGGGGTGATACTCTATGCGTCACAACATCACACAGCAAATCATTCCATACCGCGGGAAAATCAAATAATAACTCTTAACATTGATTAGCACATTCACTGGCAGGAACAAGTTGGGTAGGGGTGATTGGCTAGTACAAGAGGGGGTTCGTTTGAACTGATTGGTTTAGGCCACGAGGAGTGTACCGTGCTAAATTACATGTTTCCCAATATGTTATCAACCATCATAAACTACTTGGGGGTCATCTCGCATTCCAGGTATTTTCCCTGTCTTATTCTGATTGAAGGTGCTAGGAGGGTTGCATGGTCCTCACCTAGCCTAACTGAGTCAGGGACACCTGGCTCCGCAGACCTCTCCTGTTATTTACAGACAAACAACTCAGCAGGGTGGGTATGTACTCACTAGTGCTCTGTGGGTTTTTCCAAGGACAGGGTCACGCCCCCTTCCTTAGGACAGGCCTTGAGGTAGAAGCTGCTGTTATTTATTTATTTTTAAAAAATGGAGTCACATTAGTTTCTCACTCCTAGAAGATTTTACCTTCTGGAGGTGGTGGGTATAAAAATATCTCTCTGAAAATTTAGAGGTCCTCGTGTAGAATGGCATTTACTGTGATGATTCAGCATGAGACCTTACCTTGTGTCATTTCCGGTCTCACTTAAAAAGAGCCTACTGGCTTCTAAGTGAAGCTAGGCAATCCCTAAAATACAAATGCCAAATGTCTTCTTTGATATAATGAGAGCAACTAAGAACAGAG